CCTCGCTCAGCCAGTGAGCGGCCGGTCTGCATGTGGGATCCGAACCCTCGGCGGGAGCACCTCCGTGCTTCCCAAGCGGCGCACTGTAGCAGTGCGCCACCGGGCCGGCCCAGAAGATATTAATTTTTTAAAAATAATCCGGGTGTGGTTTTATAGACTGTTGGCACATGTATCCACCACAGCTCCTGGAGAGTGCCTTGTTCCTAGAGGCTGCTCTGAATGTTTGCTGACTGACTGACAGAAGCTGTCGAGAAGCCTCCAGAAGCATGTATCCACAGTCAGGACTTCTCAGGACCTTGATATTTCTCTCAGATTTGCAGAGTAGGGGCTAGAGGCGGATTCACTATTCTGATACAGTGTAAGACTACAACACACTGCTGCACGTCCAATACAATTGCCACTTTTCCTGTGTCCAAAGGAGCCATCCTGAAGTACAGGTTGCAGAGCACATTGGCAGAGAAGCCAGGGTTAGCTCCACAGTGCTGTGTTCCTTCAACCGTGATTTTTTAGTTCTGATAGAAACCCACAAAATCAATAGCTTGGAAAGCCACAGGTAATGTAAGAATTCTAGGTCACATTCCCTGTTGCTCTGCCTAAGAGAGGTGGGGGATACAAGAGGTGGGAGCACAGGCCTTGGGTCTGACAGCCTTGGGTTTGAACCGCAGCTCCGTTGGCCTCAGTGCAAGTCAGACAATCTTTCTGAGTCTCAGTCTTGTCTGACAAGGGCTTAGTCATACCTCTCTTGAGCTAAGGCATCCTGCAAAGCATCTAAATGTTAGCCCCACTCCCTCTTTCACTTCCCAGTAAGTAATGTTTGCACACACCAAGCTAGGGAGAGTCCTCTGAGAGCAAAGCAAAGAGAGCTTGGTAAGAAATTGTGCACATAGAGAGTGTGTGCTCTGAGCTGGAACCAGCAGTGAAAGCAGTAAAGGCTTCTGGCTCTCACGAGGCAGCGAGAGGGTAAGCAACTTGCCCAGGGCTGCATGCATGTCAGTGATTCGGCGAGGACTGCAACTCAGGCAGTGGAAATCCAGGGTCAGTGTTCTTAACTCCTACGACATACTGCCTGTTTTGAATCATATCTTAAAAGATTTATTCAAGTTTCAGTCAATCTTATTTTTATTTCATTGTATACAGTTTTTGTATTAATTATCTACCTTCTACGAACAAATATAGTATACAAAAGTACTTCAGAAAGTTCATGGAAAGATTCATATTATCTTTTCATTCTGTTTTTCCATGAACTTTTTAAAGTACCCTTTTACGTGTTAACTGCTGGACTAGTTTTGTTTTTTTAACCAATATATATCTTTCTCTTTCATTAAATACAGAATAGAAGTTGTTCATTTCTAACTAAATTAATGGAAATATTTCTGACTTTTTATACTTGATTTCTTTTAATTACTGCTAAAAGCTAAACATCAGATTTCATACATACACAATATACATTTATTAGGAATATATCTCACTTCATAAATACTACTTTTGGCTACATGTCATGTATTATGACAGTATTGAGTAATAGCATATTGATTTATTATCTTCTGTTAATAAGCTTTAAAAATGGATACATTAAATATGTTAGAGCATAATCATTTGAATTAAAAAATGAGGTGTAAGCTTTTTTCTGGTAAAATATAAATCTGCTTTGACTGTTTTGACTATGCAAAGTGACTTTGCCACTTAAGCTATGATGGATATATTCACTAAACTGGGCTAAATCTGCAGCCATAATTGAGGAAATTGGGTTGACAACTGACACAACATTAAAAATGGATTTTGATAATCAAACTGTGTGTGCTTTATGGCATATAACTTGTAAGGAGCTCAAAGATTCAAGGGGAAACATTACTACAAAAATTTCCATGACTTATTTATGTGAAAAATTAGCACATACATCTTTCAAAAAAAAAAAACCAGCCCTCAAAATAGAAAAATAGACCTAGAATTAATGTTGAATGCTGACTCTTCTCATGGTAAGTCATGTTTATCCATGGATACATGAAATAATTGTGGGGGAAAAGGGCAGCTCTACTCATTAAGATATGACAAGTAAACAAACAGAAAAAGAAAAAGATTTGACGTCGTGACATATTTATGTTTTGATCATTTGTGTACTAATATTTATTATAATACCACAGAAAAAGAATATTAACCTTTAGAGCCATATGGATTCAGAAAGTAAAACAACTTTTACAGTTTCATGTTATATATACATTTTAATTGCAGAGAAGTATGGTGGGGTGATCAGTTAAAGACTTAAGTAGTGTATAAAAAATAACGCTAGGATAAAATTGGAGGAAATGAAATGAAAACAGATCAAGAGGAAAAATTAAGGCTGTAAAATTTCCAAGCGTTAAAAAAATGTTTGTTTATATTTTTAACAATGGATCTTGGTTATTTTTACATGTAAATATTGAAATTTGGTAATTATTTAAGCTTAAAGTGAAAAATTTTAGATATAGAACTAAAAAAATGTTGGGGGGGTAGTTTGTATGTATGTGCATATTTTCTGGGGAGAGGGGTCCGTAGCTTTTTACCAGATTCTTAAAGGTTGAGTACGTGACCAAAAACCGTTTAAGAGGTGAGACCACCAGACTCTAGAGGCTGAATATTTGTTCCACTCTCAGCTTGTTCAGTACGTTTCTACTTTACCAACACATTGGTGTATGAAAGGTACAAGAGTATACCTGCTTTTAAAAATCCCAGTAGAGGGCCGGCCCGTGGCTCACTCGGGAGAGTGCGGTGCTGATAACACCAAGGCCACGGGTTCGGATCCCATATAGGGATGGCCGGTTAGCTCACTGGCTGAGCGTGGTGCTGACAACACCAAGCCAAGGGTTGAGATCCCCTTACCGGTCATCTTTAAAAAAAAAAAACAAATAAATAAAAATCCCAGTAGAGTTATAAGTTCTTAGCACAGAACTCTTAGTTCAAAAACACTTTCCTGTATGTCTGCATGGAATAATTATATTCCTCCAGTGATATTTTTTTCATATTTATGAGTTGATGATGCTTTGTCTTTCAGTTTGAAGGAAGGAAGTACTGTGAACATGATTTTCAGATGCTCTTTGCTCCTTGTTGTCATCAGTGTGGTAAGTTTTACTGTTGAATGTAAAGTAAAAAGTAAGTTTCAAAATTACTTAGTCATTTACCACTATTAAAGTGTCAGTAGTAAAATGGTTTTTGATGCTCATTATAAATAACTGTTGGGTACTTTATCAGTCTCCTTCCCTATTCCTAATATATAACAAACTGGAAGATTACCAAAACCTGGAGAGAACTGACTTTTAAGGACATCTAGGGTAAAGGTATTTAGGGACTAACTAGGACTTGTATTAGTTGGTCTTTTGGAGTGCACTATTCCCTTGTTAATGCAGCCTTTTTTTGGGTTTGCCAGGGAAGACATGAGATGCTTAAGTACCATTGTATGGTACATAAATGCCAGACTTGCTTGCAGCTTTAGCTACTTCACTAGCTCTACTAGAAAGTTTCCAGAGATTGCAGAAACAGTAGAATTTTGTAAAGATTTAGTGAAAGAAGAAATTAAGTATGGTTTATAAGAAAATGTGCTGTGGGGGCCGGCCCGGTGGCGCACTCTGTAGAGTGCGGCACTTGGGAGTGTGGTGGCGCTCCCGCCAAGGGTTCGGATCCCATATAGAGACTGGTCTGCTCACTGGTTGAGCGCGGTGCGGGCGCGACACCGAGGGTTGCGATCCCGTTGCCGGTCGCAGTACGGGCGCGACACTGAGGGTTGCAATCCCGTTACCAGTCACGAAAAAAGACAAAAAGGAAAAAAAAAATAGAAAATGTGCTGTGGAATTTAGGTGTCTGTGTCAACAGTGACCAAAAATAACCAAAGGGCATTCAGGATAGCCCCAGACAGATGATCCTTGACTTATGGTGGGGTTACATCCTGATATACTTATCGTGCATTGGAAACATAGTAAGTCATAAATGTATTTATTGCACCTAACCTACTGAATATCATAGTTTAGCCACTACCTTAAATGTGCCTGGAACACTTACATTAGCCTGCAGTTGGGCAAAATTATCTAACACAAAAGCTATTTAATAATAAAGTGTTGAATATCTCATGTATATCATTGACGTTCTACTGAATTCATATCACTTTGTACCATTGTAAAATCAGAAAATAGTAAGTGGAAGCACTGTAAGTCGAGGACTGTCTGTACATTGTTTGAAAAAGGAAAGCCAGATTCGATGATGTGATAAAACAGCCCAAAAATATGGCTACAGAATCAAAATCAAGTATTTAGAAGAAATAAAAGTCAGTTTTTTCTAATGGGTTTTCTCTTGTAGTCAAATACAAATAAAGTCCTTTATTGGAGACTTTAGTGGAGACAGATTTTTTTTTCCTTATTTGTTTTTAGCAAGTAAGGTATCACAATGGGCATCCTTTGTGTGCAACTTTCCCACAGGTGAATTCATCATTGGCCGAGTTATCAAAGCCATGAATAACAGCTGGCATCCTGAGTGCTTCCGCTGTGACCTCTGCCAGGAAGTTCTGGCAGACATTGGGTTTGTCAAGAATGCCGGGAGGTAGGAGATTCCACCCTTCTCACATGTGGGTGGATCAAGTGACTGTGACAAGGTCATGTGTATTTTCTCTGTGGGTGGTAGGGTGGTGCCCTAGGACACTGAATTTAGAGAATGGGAGCTCAGACACTGCAGCCCGTTGGCTTGTTTGATACCCATTAGGAAAGGAACCTAGAGTCTGTGCACAGGGCACGACTGCTCCCTGCACTCCTGGGATGCCAATGGCAGATACATGCACAGATGAAGTTTCTTGGAAGTTGTCAGTTACTGGGGTTGGTATACATTTTTCATGTAGCTTGATTCTGCTTTATGAAGCACAGGAGTGATTTTTCAAGCAATGGTTTTTTAATTTCAGACATATGGGAAACATATTTCTTTTTAATTATTAGAAAGACCTAAATCGGATCCCTGTACACCAAAAAAAAAAAAACAAAACAAAAAAAACCTGAAGATTTGAATTTTAAGTTTTGGTTCTTTCTAGACACCTCTGCCGCCCCTGTCACAACCGTGAGAAAGCCAGAGGCCTGGGGAAGTACATCTGTCAGAAGTGCCATGCCATCATCGATGAACAGCCTCTGATATTCAAGAACGACCCTTACCATCCGGACCATTTCAACTGTGCCAATTGCGGGTATGATGAGCTTTTCTTTTTTGTTGCTCAAACAGTGGAAATAGAATAAAAGACTGTGTTCATCTGATATTCTGTTACTCCAGCAAACCAAATTGTTATTTTTCAATTTTTAAATCTGGAAAATTTCAGACCTATAGAAAGGTCAAGAAAATGATATAATAAACACCTGTATTTAGTTTCACCACTTAACATTTTTCCACACTTGTGTGTGTGTGTGCAGCACACTCTCTTTCTCTCCCCCCACGTGTGTGTGTACACACACATACACATACCTTTAATTTATTTTCACTGAGCAGTTTCAAAGCAAGTTGTAGACATTATGACTCTTAGTAGGAGTCTCCTGAGAATAAGAGTATTGTCCTATAGAACCACAATGTTCTAATCATACATAAGAAAATTACCCATAGTTTTTTTTATTTTAACATTTACTTATACAGATTTGTGGGGTACCGTGTGTTATTTCAATACATGCATCTACTGCACAATGGTTCACTTAGGTAGATAGCATAGTTTTATACCCGTTAATCTACGACTTTTCCTTCCCCCTGCCCTCCTTTCCCCCTTTCTGGCCTTTTGTAACCATTATTCTACTCTCCACTAGGAGAACCACTTTTTTTTTTTTAAGTTCCACATATGAGTGAAATCATGCCGTATTTGTCTTTCTGTGCCTGATTTCACTTAACATGATGTGGTATTTGTTTTTTGTGTCTGATTTTCTTCATTTAACATGATGGTTTCCAGTTCAACCCATGTTGCTGCAAGTGATAGGATATCTTTTTATATATATATATATAGCTGAATAGTATTCCATTGTGTATATATACCACAGTTTTTTTAATCCATTCATTAGATGATGGGCATTTAGATTGATTCCATCTCTTGGCTATTGTGAATAGTGTTGCAATAAACATGGGAGTGCAGGTGTCTTTTGGTTATATTGATTTGATTTCCTTTGGGTATATACTCAGTAATGACATAGCTGGGTCGTAAGGTAGATCTACTTTTAATTCTCCGAGGAACCTCCATACTGTTTTCCACAAAGGCTGTACCAACTTACTCTCCCACCAGAAATGTAGGAGAGTTCCTTTTTCTCCACATCCTCGCCAGCATTTGTTATTTTCTGTCTTGTTGATAATAGCCATTCTAACTGGAGTGAGATGATATCTCACTGTGGTTTTAATTTTCATTTCCTTGATGATTAGTGATTTCGAGCATTTTTTCATGTGCTCGTTGGCCATTTGTATGTCTCCTTTTGAGAATTGTCTGTTCAGGTCCTTTGCCCATTTTTTAATTGGGTTATTTGTTTTTTTGCTGTTGAATTGTTTGAGTTCCTTACATATTCTGGATATTAGCCCATTGTCTGATGTGTGGTTGTCAAACACTTTCTCCCATTCTGTAGGTTGTCTCTTCACTTTGTTGACAGTGTCCCTTGCTGTGCAGAAGCTTTTTAGTTTGATGTAGTCCCATTTGTGTATTTTTGCTTTA